CCCAAAGTCACCCAGCTGGCTTTCGTGCCTAAGGTGGGACTAGAACTTCCATTCTCCTGGTGATTGGCCCAAAGTCACCCGGTCTGAAATGTGGGTTCCTTGGTGCTCTCAGATCAGGCTCTTTCTTTAGTGATGTCTTGTGACTCAACAAGCTAACCTCATCAGTATGAAGTGAGTGGGTTATATGGAGGAAGAAGAGGAAGAGGGGAACTGTGGGGTCCTTGGTGCTCTCTGAGCTGGGTGGTTTCCTTGCAGACGTTTCATGACCCAACTAGGGAACATCATTGTGGCTATTCCACCATTAAGCAGACATTGTCAAACACGGATACAGGGATGTTTGCACGTATCCAATGACCTTGTTTTAGCCAACTGAATAATGTTTCAATATCACGAAACACTGACTGTTGTTGCTTTTCTTCCCAGGACACCATAGCCAATATGATAAGCATATTTGCAAGCTTGCAAACTATCACATACTTTGTTCTTTGTTCTTTGTTTATGATCTTCTTCCATATAAGGTAAAACTCTGCTACCCCGTGTGCTCCCCCACCCGCTTGAAAGAGGTTAATAAATGAGGTTTGTACAGAGCACCCGAAGCTTTTTCAGCTCCTTCTCCAGGTCCCCCTCCTTCTCCTCCTCCCCCTCCTCCTGCTGCGGCTGCTGCTGCCTGGGTCAATCCATCTGCCCCGGGTGTGAAGTGCTCCCTCCTATGAAAACAATCGGATGTCTGGTGTCTGTTATTGGTATTCACCCTTGCGAGGGTCCCTCTAAACTTCTTCCCTGCGGGGAACTCCATAGGCAGCGAAAGAACGCAGACGGAGCAACGGACCGGTCGCTCGCTGCGACACATCATCAGGGCTAGAAGGGAATGAGATGTGAGGAGAGGAGGAGGAGGAGGACTGTGGGGTCCTTGGTGCTCTCTGAGCTGGGTGGTTTCCTTGCAGACGTTTCACAGCCCAACTAGGGAACCTCATCCGTCCAGTCGCTCAGAGAAACCCAAGAATTCCTGGGTGATTTTCAGGAGGACCAGCTCCCATTTGGGGGGTAACACTCCCCAACTGGTCCTCTGGATACTTTGGGGGAAATGAAGGCCCAGGTGTGGGCCTGTTGTCTTGTGAAAGGAGATGCCTGCCAGCCTGGCCGCAGTCAGTATATGTAATATTATATATTTTACGTTTTTAGCATATTTTTCCCTAAATAATCGTAATAAGAACAATTCTGGTTTTAATTCCATTTGTTCCTTCGTGATTTCTTCCAACCATTTTTTTTTAATTCTCCACCAATATTTTGGGGATTCTGAGCAGGACCACCACATGTGGCAGAATGTACCGTTTCTTTTTTGTTTTTACACTTCCAACATGCCGGACTCATATTGGGGTAACCTACGTTCCCCCAGAAGAAATGGGAATCCAAAAAATACTGAGTTGTGCAGAAATGGACAAATTAACCCTAGTTTTAAAGGACAAAGAATTATCAGAGTACTATATGATTTGGAAAATATTGGTATGAATGGATTGAGGAAAGACAGATTACATAGTAAACAGTAAAAGAAGTAGTAAATATGCAGTATAATGTATTAGTTGTAAATTTTGCACAAAATAATGTTACAAATGAAAAACCACAGACTGTCATTGTTGAAGGCCTTTTAATTTTTTCTATATTCGTTTTGTTTTAATTTATAAAATTAATAAAGTGTGTATCAAAAAAAAAAGAAAGAAAAATGTCTGACTTTTTTGTAAAAAAATAAAATAAACCCCCCTACTTTTTACGATGGAAACTTGCTAGGAATCTTTTGGGAAAAACAGAAGTAGGAAAAATAAAGAGAGTGGGAAGAGTCCTTTATTAAAATCTGCCCGCTGGGAAAAAGGGGCTTTCTGATTTGAGGTTCGAGAGACTAATATAACCCTCCGCCTGCCAGGTTGGCCCTCTTTAAATCCTCGACTATTACCGCCATCACGGAGCCTGGCCGTTGGAGTCGTAAGACGTGATGAACATGACAAGGACGTCATCGCACGAACGACTTGATTTTATAACTTTTTTTTTTTTTCAGGGGGTAATTAAGCGAACGCGTTGGATCGATAGTTATTTTGTTTGTATTTATTTACTAGCGGCGGGGGGGGGCTGGACTAGATGACCTCCAAGGTCCATACAGCTCTATTCTGTTCTAAATCCCTGACTGAGGGGCGGGGTTGGACTAGATGACCTCCAAGGTCCCTTCCAGCTCAATTCCATTCTAAATCCCTGCTTGAGGAGAGGGGAGATGGGCTAGATGACCTCCAAGTTCTCTTCCAGCTCAATTCCATTGTAAATCCCTGCTTGAGCGGTAGAGACTGGACTAGATGACCTCTGAGGTTCCTTTCAGCTCTGCTATGTTCTAAATCCCTGATTGAAGGGCGGGGTTGGACTAGATGACCTCCGAGTCCCCTTCCAGCTCTATTCCATTCTAAATCCCTGCTCGAGGAGAGGGGAGATGGACTAGATGACCTCCAGGGTCCCTTCCAGCTATATCCTATTCTAAATCCCTGCTTGAGGAGAGGGGAGATGGACTAGATGACCTCCAGGGTCCCTTCCAGCTCTATTCTATTCTAAATCCCTGCTTTGGGTCGCAAAGAGACCAACCCACCTGAGTGGAAAAATAGAGACGTGGCTGCTTTAAAAAAAAAAAAAAGCTTTATTGTTTTTTTAAAAGAAAAAGGGGGGGACCTTGAACTCCCCCCCCCCCCCCCCCCCCCAAAAAAAACCCTGAATGCTTTTACAGCTTTCAAGCCTGCTCTGCGTCCTGGGTGCGAGAGACGGGCTGGCGACACAGATTATTCCAAGGCTTTGCACGAGGCCGTTTCAGTCGGGGTCCCTCATCGTGGCCACTTTAAGACGGGTGGACTTCAACTCCCAGAACCCCCCATTCCACCATACCTCCTACTTCCTAGAGCGGAGAGATTGCAGAGGAAGGGATGACAAAAGAGAGGAAGCGGGCATAGAGAGTTGAAGATCTTAGCGGATCCGGCTGGGGAATTCTGGGAGTTGGAGTCCACCAGGCTTAAATCGGGGGTCTCCAACCTTGCCCCCTTTTAAGACGGGCGGACTTCGACTCCCAGAATCCCCCATTCCACCATACCTCCTCCTTCCTAGAGCGGAGAGATTGCAGAGGAAGGGATGAGAAAAGAGAGGAAGCAGGCAGAGAGAGAGAGTTGGAGATCTTAGCGAAGCTGAAGGGGGGAATTCTGGGAGTCGAAAACCCATTCCCACATGCTGTGGTGGGGTTCAGATTCCCAGCTCCATCTCGCACACCCAAGTGAAGGTGCGGGAACAGATGTTGTCGTTCCACAGGGCGTCCTCTCTCATGTGGGCGCAGTCCTCGCCGCCCCCGAGGCCGTGGCCGTACCAGTGGTCTGGCTGGCCTGGGCCCCAGTCCCTAAAATGGAAGTGGGGAGAGAAAGAGAGTGGGGGGAAAGAAAGAAAAGGGAAGAGGGAGGGAGGGAGGGAAGGAGGGACGGAATGTGAGGGAGAAGTAAGGAAGGAAGAGAAAGGAAGAAACGAGAGAAAAGACAGGGCGGGAGGAAGGGTGGGAGAGAAGGAAGGAAAGAAAAGAGAGAGAGAAAGAAAGAAAATGAAAGAAAGAAAAGGGAGGGAGGGTAGACGTGAGGGAGGGAAGGAAGGAAAGAAAAAAAGAAAAAGGAAAGAAAGGAAGGAAGGAAAGAGAAAGAGAAAGAAAGAAAATGGAGGGAGGGTAAAAGGGAGGGAGGGAAGGAAGGAAGGAAAGAAAGAAAGAAAGAGAAAAAGAAAGGGAGGGAGGAAAGAGAGAGAGACAGAAAGAAAGAAAGAAAGAGAAAGAAAGAAAGAGATAAGAAGGAAGGAAAAAGAAAAAGAAAGAAAGAAAATAAATGGAGGGATGGAAGGAGGGAGGGTAGAAGGAAGAGAGGGAGGGAAGAAAGGGAAGAAAAACGAAGGAAAGAAGGAAAGAAAGAAAAAGGAAGGAAAGAGAAAGAAAGAAAAAGAGAAAATAAATGGAGGAGGGAGGGTAGAAGGAAGGGAAGGATGGTAAGAGAAGAAGGAAGGATGGAGGGAGGGAAGGAAGGAAGAAAAAAGGAAAAAAAGAAAGAAAAAGAAAGAATAAATAAATCAATCGGAGGGAGGGAGCATAGAAGGAAGGAAGGAAAGGACGGTAAGAGAAGAAGGAAGGAAGGAAGGAAGAAAGGAAGGAAGGAAGGAAGGAAGGAAGGAAGGAAGGAAGGAAGGAAGGAAGGAAAAGAAAACGGAATATCATTGAATAGCTTCTGGCACCACAAAGCAACCAACCACCTCCAACCTGATCCCACCCACCCCTCATCCCTGCATGATGGACTACAACTCCCATCGCCCCCAGCTCATCATCCCGTTCTGCTCTTCCTTTACCGGGTCCGACCTCTCTCCTCCATTTGGCTTTTCCCAGGTCTACTATCCTTAGGCTAGGCCGCCGTTGCATCCTTGGAGGCCCCTTCCCGGCCAAGCCAGGCAGGTGCATTAAAGGAGAAGCCCACCTTTAAACCCCCATTAAAGAGGGGTTTAAAAAAATATCTCCGACCGAACCCTTATTGGGGGTATTTCCCGTTGCCTCCCCCCAAAAATAGATACTATTGTTTGATCCGTGGCATAAAATAGAATAGGTGGAGGCAGTTTTATCTCTCTCTCTGGGCAGGATGAGAATTATATCTGCCGAACAAAACTCCACCCTGGCAACATGAAAGGCATCCGGCCAGTAAAATCCTCAAAACTCCATTCAGTTGCCCAAGACTCTAGCCCGCAAGGGTCCTTAAACGATGATGAGCCTACTGGTTAAAAAAAAGAGGGAGAGGACCTGTGGTGGAGGGAGGGACAGACAGACAGAGAGAGAAACAAAAAATTGACCGGACTCACTTCGGGTCAACGGTATAGGACGATCCATCCACCCACTTCCAGTCCCCGCTGCTGTCGGTCAAGCCGATCCAGGTGTTGCTCCCCAGTCTGTGGGTCTTTACGAAGGCCTGGCATGAGAAAACACAAGCCGCTTACCGCCACGGCTGAGCCCCGAATCTCCCCGTCATTAAGCAAGACAGTTCGTCAATTTGAGGGACCCTGACTCTTCTTTGACGACCTTTCTCACCATGGTCCTTAGTGAAACGACTGCCGTTGTTTGGTCAGACGGTCAGGAAAGGGGAAACAGGGACTTGTATGTCCAGGGGGTCGGATGCTCCTGGTTCAGCCAGGTTCTATGGACCCGGTAGCTATGAAGAGCAGTAGATACCTGCTAAGTTGTTATTTTTCCTTTTTTTATCCCCCCAACCATCAGCTGTTCTGCTGTCCCAGGAGATTTAGATTAGCTAAAAAGCAGGAAATGGTTGGATTTCTTGCTGAACCTTCCTAGCTTCTATTTTTCAGTGCAGGCTCAGGCAGCAGATTGCAGATAGACCCCTGAGTTGAAAAAAGTTGCCCTTTTTAAAATAAAAAAAATTCAATATTTACATATATGGTCAATTGCGAATTAATTTTATGAGTTGGCTTGCAAGCAAATTTTATGTGACAGACTCGGGTAGCCGATGGCAAAGGGATAGATCTCTGAGCGAGTATGTGATTGTGCGAGCAACTCAATCTGCCTGCCTGCTTTGCCTGCTTTGGGGTAAAAGTTGCTCTTTTT